CGTGTTTTCAGGAATGCCATTCACGGAACGTCATAACCGTAGGTGGCGGGGGAGAGCCATCGGCAAAGTGGCGTCTAATGATGTTTGGCCGTGCTTGGCATCATTCCTGGTACTCAGAAGCACAATCCTTCGTTCCAAAATCCCATCGGGATTCAATACGGGCACCCATGTTAGGATCAGAGTTTGGCTTCTTTTCAGAAAACGTATAGCACCGTAGGAGACACGTTGGCTATAACAAGGTTCAAAGCCCTATGAAAGACATGGCATGTTGCATGTTGAGGATCTCCAGCGAAGCGTAGCTCGAGTAGGATGTTCCTGATTTTTGACTTTTCTCGGTTTTTCCCGTTTTTCATACCCCTCTTCCCCACTCCGATTACAGCTTCTTTCACTTTTGCTTTATCTCACCCCTTGGGGTTCAGGGCCATTCCATGCTCATTTTATGGGCGGAGTCACTAAGAAGGATGCTCTTTTCTCATTGGCGGGTTCATCAGTCATCTTATGGAATCTAGAAATTAGAAGCAAGCTTATAGGCAAGCACAGTAGATCAATTGAAAAACAGAAAATAATGATCTTGACTATGATGAGCTCCGAGCTAAGGGAAAAGACAGGTCATTCTGGAAATTGGAAGCCGGAAATGCGCACCGTGTTCCTTAATGCCTCTTCCTATGAAGGAGGAGCACCTGCTAGCTTTCATTTGGTCCGACACTGCCCATATGACTAGCGTATAATTTGAGAGAGCCTGAGAGCTTCAAAATTCTGGGACCTCACGAGTTACTGTCTGGAACAATAGAAACGCCGATTTTGATCAATCCTAAGTTGGGATGCGGCACGCATTCTACTTCCATTCAGAATCGTAGTGGCTTACTGAATGCGACGTGGCCCATAAAATGACATGCGGGGGCTAGCCGATGTACAAGTCAGCTATCTTATCCTCCAGACGATCCTGGTACCAATTTACCCTCCACGTAGGGTAGAAGGCTTGATTGTCCTGGGAGGGAGTCGACCCGAGTTTCGAACCCAGGACCGCGCGAATAGTAGCGTGCCACGTGCACTACACCACCTCCTCTGGGAAAGTACACTTAGGAATGCATCCAAGGTCTAAGTGGATGTCAGATGCGCGGCGCATTCCAGAAATTACTCAAGCACTTGTGCTTCGTCTTCACCAGACAGCCATCAATATTCAAGGCGCTGCGCTAAAATTCGTATTGCTAGCCACAAAAGAATACATTTACTCTCATGGAGAACATCTTTTGCTGCAAACAAGGCATTTCCCCTCACAGAGCTGAAAATAGCTCATGATGGAAGCAAAAACGTCCAAAGGCAGTCAAAGCAGTATCTCCTATTCCATCCTACTGTGCACTGAATGGCTTTTCACGTGCACATCACGAAGAAAGCAGCGGTGACACCGCTTCTCATCATTACGTTGAATCATGCCCATTCCATGAAAGGATTTACTTCATCAAATTGAGTGACTAGGAAGTAAAAGAGACTCAGACAGCCCGATATTGCTTTGCACTTGCAGAATTAGACAAAGCCATTGTGACAGGCATGCCACTACGGACGTGCTGTCATGTCACGTGCCACTGGAGCTACAGACAGCTCTGGAGCCAAATATATCCTTGAAAAAGGTTACGTGTCATGTTGAGAGCCCATTCGGAAGAGGGATTGCCATATAATGGCACTCACTAGCAAGTCAGTCAAGGAAAATTGCTGTAATTCCGTGTGGCAGGAATCTCATGCAACTGTATGTGAAAGTCCCGTCGTTGAGAAAACCTTCTGCAAAATACGACCCCCTCTCTCTGAAATCGCCTCTGTTATGGCTCCCCTCCCCCTCCACCTTTATCTCTCCTACCTACCTTCTTCATCTTACCAGATTTCAACAACTTACTTCCATTGTCTCCAGTTTCTCTTTCAATATTTCAATCCCCCCTCCAGAAAAAACTGCCATCGGGAGGAAACAGAGCGCCCTCGAGGTGAAACCGAGAGAAGCCAGAATCGAACACCTTTTCTCCCAGACCCAAATATGACCCCCCTCTTGCTATGGGAACGATAATTTGGTTCAGTGCCATGAAAAGTTGAGAAGGAGACCCAATAATGCGCATATTCTGTTAGGATGGAACGGCTGGAAGCGGAATCTTTTCTGGTCAGCGAATCACCAGTGCGGAGACAGCCAGCAATTAGTTCTGTAATCTGTTACGTCACATACTTAGACCCTCGGTATGAACACTGAGCGCCTAGGATGTCATTTCGAGCGCGTTTTCACTTCGTAGTCGCCGTGGTCCCCTCCACCACGGTCCGCGCTCTTGAGAACAAAGGCATCGCTGAGGGTCAAATATCCAAAAGGTCCACAAGCTGTGTCTCCCTCGTTAACACGCTAATCCAGCTTCGCTCTTAATAATTTATTACATGTTCGAAGTAGGAACGCATTCGATATGAGGATGCATGTGTTTCTTACGGCGTCTCCACCACCAGTCATCGTGTGTAGTCCCTGGACCACATCAATTTTTTGCTAATTGAATGTATTCTCTAGTCTAAATAGCGCCTGCTCCTGATCCCCTGTCGTTATAAATTCCATCACTCTGCGCGTGAAAGAGTTACACCCAGGGCCGCGGACTTTTTTATCCTTTTTATCCGAAAAGTCACATCTTCGAACCTACTACTTGCCCCACTGCACATTTCAAACAACTATTTCCCTTTACCTGTCCTTATTCTACCCTTTCACGGCTGTACCAGGGCATAAAGTTCACGTAGTCATGCACCCTAGTGAAGGACAACTGTCATTTTCTAGTGCAATACCTTTTGAAGGGGATCTCATTCATAATGGATTATAGGCCAGCGTCAATGAAAGTACGATTCACGTAAAACTGATTGAAAAACTGAATGACAGGCAGCCGTCTGAACAAGGCCAAATGTCATGTTGAGAGCCCATTTGAAGGAAATGTCACGCAATGACAGTTTCCAGGCCATCGTTGAAGAAAGAAGTTAAAATTCCTTAGAGCTTTGTCCTGACAGACTATCCGTACCACCCGCTTCTTTCGTTCATATTTCAAATTTCAAGGAGCCAGGGCGGAGGCGAGTACTATTAAGATTCGTAAAGGTAGACAGGGTGCAACATCGTTGCGTGAAACACGTGGGGGGGGGCCGTAACTTGCAGCTGCGGGAGGGGGCTTGGTATGTCGGTGCCTACTGCGGAGAAATTTGCACGCTTAGGAAAATTTTTTCCCAGATTGTCGACTATTTCGCAGTTTTTTCCCGTTTCACAATTCGCTGATCAACCCTCCCCGCGCTCAACGAAAAGTATTGGGGAGAAAAAAGTAGCGAATTTCGCTCGGGATTTGAGAAACTGGGAGGAAGCTGGGAAGCTTCTGCAGAAAACAGTGTAAGTTAGGTGTCGCACAGGGACCCTCTTTTAGGGAAGGGGGTCGTACTGACACCACCACTTCATATCAGGATGCTGTGCCCTGAAGATAGGTTGGCTAAGACATTCATGGGACTGGCTGGCCAAAATTTGGGAATGCCATACTACAAATCCTCATAACCTTTAAATAAAGAAATTCACTTGATAAACAAGAAATCTGCTCAGCTACCCCGCAGCTCCTTCATTTGGAGGTGGGGCTTCAGCTTCATCCTCACAACGGTGATCACATTTTGCACCCCGCCCCCTTCTTGGCTGCTGAAACTAGGGCATCGCCCACTGGCCAATTCCAGCAAGGAAAGAAGCTCGTATTTGCCTTTGGGAGAAATGTTTTCGGTTGTTGACTTTTCTCGGATTTTGTCCTTTTTCAAGCACGCTGTAACCCACTTTCCCCCCACACCTCATCACTCGATTTTTTGATTGGGCACGGTTCTTGAGGAGAAGTGGTGGGAAGCTGGAAAAACTGACAGAATGGGGGTTTGGAGGGAGTACTAGAAGGAGTCCCGAAATCGATTTCGCAGAAATTTTCCCCAACGGAGGAACCTGCCGCAGCAAAAACTTGTGCCGAGTCGCTATTCCCTCTAAACGCTCTACTGATATCTCCTCGAAGAACATCCAAATCGTCTTAATTTACCAGAGCTGAATTCTGAAAACGGCGAAAATTCCAAAAATTCTGATCGCCCGGCTCCAAGCCTTAATAACGGAATTGAGTTCAGGATTACGGGTTTCTGACGGCCCATATGGCTCTGAGGCAAAGTTTGCAAGCTCAGAGCTCCACCCTTTCTAATTACCCTTCATAGCTGAAGCTAGTTAAATGGTGATGGGAAATGGTCACAGAAAAAGTAACAATTATCCGTCTACAGTAATCCATTCCTTTGCAGTGTTCATTTATTCCCGTTTTTTCCACGGCTGTCTCATTAGCGTTTTCAGCAACTTCGCTGCGATCAATAGTTTCTTTTTCATTTTCGCTCCTGCACGCGCTCTCACAGAATTTCATGGCCATGCATAGAAGGTCTCAGCAAACACACTTCAGCGCCTTTTTAGGGTACAGGACAGCTTTTTACTGAAAGCCGTTGACAATCGCCTAACCAGTTCCTTTTAATAGCAAATAAGCCGAACAATGAGGGTTTTTCCTTCAATGACTCTTCAGGCAGGTGTCGGGGCATATACCGGTCCAGTTTGCCTGTCACTTCATCCCTCGTCCCTTGCCTTCTTTTCCACGGGGACATATCGACTAGTCAGTATGAGGCGGTGCGAGGCGCGCTAATTCGAGCCGCGAATCTCCGTGGCCACGACGACGTTGATGAGGAAAAGCGAACGGTGGCCGACTAATTAAGGAGTCCTAGGACAAATTGAATTCATTCCGTAGGAAATAACAAGGTGGCTGATTAACTGGTAAGCCTAGCAATTAGTTCTCTCTATTGCAGCTTGCAGCAGAAGATTGAAATCAGCCGCTGACTTCTATTTCTTGCGAATCGAAAAATTCTTCCAGAATCGTCAAAATAAAATGAATAAAAGGAACGACAAAAATAGATTTTGATAGAGAAAATGACCAGCTATTTGAATAACTCACATATTTCCAGCCGAGGGTTGTCTTACAACACTGACAATAGATATCAGCAACAGCGTGCAGTCCGGTGAGCAGGACCCGCTCCTCGGCCGGACCAGTACCGATATTTACACTTCAGAAAGAAGAAAAGTTAGATTTCGCTGAGAAATAGTGTCACAAAAAAAAAAGATGAAAGATATAGGATCTTCTAGTCATTACGCACTTTCGCCGTCAGATTTTCTTGGGAAACGGAAAATTGTATTCGAGTCAAAAGCATTTCGAGTATTTTGAAAGAAAAATCTTTGGAAAATGGCTGCAAAGGCTCTGAGGCTCACTCTGATTGTTCTGCGAACCGAAAAAGGAAAGCGGCACGTTCAAAACGAGCGAGAAAGTCTCAGAACTAGTGCACTTTCTGTCGCGGGGGGGGGGTGGGGGGAACTTTTGCAAAATGGGACTCTCCCCCCCCCCAAACTTTTTGCTCTGGTACGACCTCCCTGTGAGCACGAAAAATCAACTATCGAGGAAAAAAATCCTCCACCGAACCGTTCTAGAGTCAATACCACTTATATGTTGGAGAAGTAGGGTTTGGGGGGAGAGGGGGGGGGAAGAGTGCCCTTGGACTTGGTGATGAGGTAGGTGCGGACATACAGTCTTGTTCGGTACGTATGCTGGAGCGTGTCAGGGATGGCTGGATTCAGCGCATTCACCAGTTTGGATTTGGCGCAGCGTTGGCCCGTTCTCCACTAACTGTTGTCGCTTGCCCGCTTACAAACGGTGGAAGACGGGCTGGCGCCGCGCCAAACTCAACCCCTTTGAGATGCCACAGCATTCGCGGCGTACAAGACAGTAGAAGTTGTAAGTTAAGGCATAGTGGCAAACAGCAGGTAGGTAAGAGAGTGCAGAGGGCAAAAAAACGTCGATGCTCACTGACCATCCCCTTCCTAGAGCGGAAATGGACCATAAATATCTGGTAACTGGATAAGTACCAAGATCCACGCGCTGACGGCCAGACAGCAAAAATTTGAGAAAATACTGTAGACCGGCCGGCAGGGGAGACCGTTTCGTAGATCCTTCAATCACTTATGAATATCAGAACCACTGTGGTTAAAGATAGTGTGGACTTTAATGGACATGTCTGTCCCACTTTTGATTCGAATAGTTGTAAAGAAGAGTTCTAAGGGCCCAAGGTTGCTCAAGTGACACCGCCCACGTAGCTAGCTGTCCTAGCAGTCGTCTTGCTCGTCCGCATGCTCTCTCGCTGCTCTTGTCTGGTCTCTCGCCCAAAATATCGATCACATAATGCTTCTCCCGTGGAACGAGGGGCTCTCATTTGGGACGTTTTTGAGGGTTTCCTCTGTTTCTTCTTCAGGGGCTCTCAACTACGCACTAGCCCATGCATTTCCGTTTTTCAACCCCACTACGTAGTTTTCAGCGGCTTATTGCGACATCTTCCTTTGACTTCGCTCAGAGATGGAATTTTCATGGCTGGTTATTTTAGACTATCCTTCTAATATCCCTTGGAAAATCAGACCAATTCACGTAATTATTGCAGCTACAAAAATTTGCAAACATTAGTAAAAATAAATGTTTCTATAATAATGTAATCAATGTTAATCAGTGTAGTCAATGTTATCGAGGTAGAAAGAAAAAAGAAAATTTCAATAATACTCACACTGAATTGAATAGGTACGCTTTGCCTTGACTTCCTTGGAATGACTGAAAAAAAGGCAATAACTGAGGAAGTAAAGATTTCCACTGTGAATTATATTATTTATTCTAGGTATTTCAAAGTGTTAAACAGAAGTGACGTCACTCACTTTGGATATAAGATCATTGTGACTGGCTAAATTCGCTCGGCAATGAACACAACTATAGCATCGATCGCCTTCGGGTAAATAGTGCTGAAAAAGGTGACGTTTGACGTTTTACTGGTTTTACATTGGCCATAATCAGGAATCACGTCTTGCCATTGGGGAAAATTCTAACGAGTTAAGACCACATCACTCAAAATCTGGTACAGTCCCCTCCCCCCCCCCTCCTTCTGGAATGCCCGAATTCCCACCACTTCCTTTTTCGAACTTCTAATTTTGCGGAAGTTCTGCTTTTCTCTATTTTTCTTGAAGGCGGATATGACTCTCCTCCCTCCAGCGATCGAATACCACCCCTCGCAAGGAAATTTCAACGTACGACGTGTTCTGGCCATAACTGACCATAATTGTTTTTGCACAAAAATAAAACTACAGTAATCCTCGCTGTTCATAAAAGACTACTGTATTCCATCTTTGGTAACTGCCGCTACTGCATGGCAACTGAGGAAGTAATCTCAAGAGAAAACTCCTACTCTACACTGCCAGACGCGCCAAACATTCGAATTCCGTCCAAGATTGTCGAAGCATTTGAATGATCACTCAGCCCAGACAATGTTTTACAAGAATTTGCTACAGTTGAACTGAAGCTTAACTTTCAGTCTGTAGCCACATAATTGGAAGCCACATAGGGTTAGTCAGGCAGGGGTGGACTCGATACCAAAGCCGCACAAATGAAAAGTTAGCTCAGCTGCTGCACCACTTTCGTCTAAGCCGACCAATATCGACCGGACCATAAGGCAATTTCAACAACCACCCCATATCTGCGAACTAAAAAAATCCCCAGAGAATCTTTACTGGATAGATACCAATCTGAAGTACCTCTTAAACTTCTCTTACCGGATGGAGTCATGGAGTCCCAGTATTTCACACAGAGCTCCATCTCCCTTACGGGTTTATCAGTCCAGACTAGGGCACATCCTGCCGCTGGGAGAATTTTTGCAATATACGTCCCTCTCCCTCGAAATTTTAACTTCTGCGACGGCCCCCCTTTCCCATTCCCCTTGCTACCTTCATCTTCCTACCATTTGTTAACTTACTACCACTTTTGCTTGAGTTTTTCCAGGGAATTCTCCACTTTTCTTCAGAAAACTATCGTCGGGTGCACTTAAAACAAGAAAAACCGGGAAAAACTAACAACCGGAAACATTTCCTTTGAAGGCAAATACGACCCCACTCCAACCAAATACAACCCCCTTCACTGTTGAAGAATCCCATGCTTTGACCAAGACACTCTTTTACTGAGCATTAAAAACGTCCCCGATGAAAACTCTCGGGTTGCTAAGCGTGCGCGTGCAGG